CCCCGGGAGGGGGCGTAGGGTAGGGTGTGGTGGGACCCGTGGCAGGGGACCATTAAAAATAAAGTTCCTCTCTACTGGAAAAACGGCAGGGTGGGAGCGGCTCAGAGCGTGAGGACAGGATGTGAGAGAGCAGGGATCATGGCTGTGTCACCTCAGCATGGTCCACTTTGTGGCGGGAGGGCGGGCATGAATGGGTGAGTGCCACCAGGCCCACACACAGAGCCTGAGGCCAAGGTTTCGGGCGCAAGCCCAGCTGGGGGCTCTCTCACTGTCCCTGCAGGAGCCCGGCCTCCAGACCTGTCCCCCACGGCCCTGACATGCTGCTCCACGTGGGGACACCAGCTGGGGACACTGGGTGGCGAGGGGACCCCAGCAAACTCAGCCCAAAGATGGCATTCCCATTTACAAGCACCTCTCCTTAGTTTTGAAAGAAACAAATTTCCAGACCAAATAAGGCTTGGACCTCAGAGCTGCTGCCTTCACACGATTCCTTTTAAGTGTCCAAATGCAATTACACTTGGAACTTGCCTGGATTTGGCCTCCCCCAGCCTCCCCCACCCCCACCTCCCCACGTAAACAAACAGCCCAGCTGGGCCCCAGCTGGCCTGCCCTGGAGAGGAGGGAGGGTCACCGCCCGCTCCCTGCCCAGCCTCCCTCTCACCCTGGGCGTGGCCAAGAGCTTCAGTGTCCTAGAGCCCTCCCCTCGCACTCTGCTTAAAACAAAGGCCCCAGAGGACCAGCTGGACTCTGCGGGGAACAAATCCACTCTGCGATTGGCACTTGGGCAGGGACATCGGGTTCCTCCAGGGGCCGGAGGCCTGGAGCTCCCAGGGCAGGTGCAAGGGAAGCTCTATTTCTGGGTCCTCTTCCAGATGCCCACCCCACCCCAAGCTGGGCACCATTTGCTCCCACAGGGAAAGCACTTTGGGGAATTCCCTTGGGCTCCCGGGGGCATGAGAAAGTTGGTACAGGGCAAGGGGGGGCCGGGGGCCTTCCTGCGTGGCTCCCTAGGAAGCCACTCTGCACCACCCCCAACCTCCCTGCAGCCACCCTGGGACTCCTGCATTCCGTCCTCAGGCTTTGGCTCACTGCCCCAGGACCCTGAGAAGGCTCAAAGGGTGGGGGGAAGCCTGACTCATCCCCTGCGGAGCAGGCACGCACAGCCCGCCACCCGCACCCCCCCATCCCCAGTCAAGTGCTGTGATTTTCCGCTTGCGCCATCTGATTGCTATTAGGGCCAGGGAAAGGGGGTTCCCAGTTCCATACACCAGCAGGGGGCCCTGGGCAGATTCCAGGTGGGAAGGGGGATGGGGTGGCCCCTGGGTGGCTCCGCTGTCCTGCTGCTCAGCCTACCTCGCAAAAGTGCCTAAAACTCTCTCTCCAGGGAGCCCTCGCCTCACTACCTCCTGGCTTCTCTGTATCAGGCCCTGAATACGAGGGGACTTGCCCCTCCCGGGGCTGCACGCCCCAAAATGCCCAGTGGGAGCAGAAGGAAGGAACCAAGCAAGTGCACAGCCCTGAGCTTTCTCCAGGGCAGCCCCTCGGAGCTGCAGGATGGAGGAGAGGAACAGCTGGACTCCGGCAGCAGTGCTCCTGCCAACATGACGTCACCAGGCAGGGAGATGAGTTCCCAGTGAGGCTGGGGGGGGGACGGAGGGGGGCTCCTGAGCGGGGCATTCCTTCCTGAAGCTTCATCCCAGCTCTGGCTCAGCCCTTCCTCCCCTCCTCCTCCCCTTCCCCCTCCCTCCAGGCCTGGAATTGGGTTTGGGGCGGGTTCTGCTCCCCAAGCCATCTCCTCCGCAGGCAGGCAGGCAAGGGCTGTCCTCGACTCTGAGCTCGCCTTTTCCGAGGCTCCAGGCCGTGCTCTGAGCTGGCCTGCTGCCCCGGGGATCCGCGGCCAGAGGCAAGTGTCGTGCTCCGAGAAGGAAAGACCTCGGAAGGTCAGGACAGCTGCAGGTAGCTGTGCGGGGGGCGGGCGGCCGCGGCCCAGGGGAGGGCTTTCTGGCTACCAGGGCTACAGGGAGAAGGCCAGGCAGGGAGGGAGAACAAGGTGGGTGCTGTCAGGGCATTCGGCCCCCAGACATCACGTGGCTCCGAGTAGGAACCCTGAGGCTCCAGAGAGGACTCGGGCACACTCCCGTGGCTCTGAGAGTCCCTGTCCCGGGTGGCAGTGCCTGACCCCCACACTGTCCTCTACTTCCAACTCCTGCTCTGTCTTCCTGGCTGGGGGTGGGGAGTCCTGCTCTGTCCCTACCCCCACCCACGCCAGCCATCCAAGTCTGCTTTCTGGAAGGGCAGGAAGGGAACACCCAGCCGGCCACGTCCCAAGCGCAGAGAGATGGCTCTCCCATGTCCCTTCAGCGGCGCTGAGCTTGGGCACAGAAGGCGGAGCAGCTGCACCCCATCCTGTCCCCAACAGACGGCCCCTGGTGTCCCCAGATTAGCCTCCTCCAGCTGAGCCGTGAGCAGGGGACCCCGGCCCTGGAACAGAAATGCAGCCTCCCTGTGGTGGGAGGCAGCCGGCAACAGCTGGGAAGAGAGGGGCTGGGAAGACGGGTTGGGGGCTTGCAGTCTGGCTATGCCCACCTGGGCCTTCCGGAGGACAGCCTCACCTGTCCCCGGCAAGTGTGGGGCTGGGTTGTGGGAGGTGGGCTGAAAGGAGAGGAGGTGGACAGGTGGCCAGAGCCGTCGGAGGCCTGGCGCTTGGAAGGGAGGGTCAGAAGCGCACGGAGCCGGCAGCTTTCCCTCTGCTGTAGCAGAAGCTGGATCCCAGCCCGAGGAGCACGCACACTCACCCATGCTCACACACATGCCACACACACGTCACACACGTATCTTCTCAAAGCCCTTCCGGGCTCCCTTGGCTTCTAGATCTCTGCGGGGGGCACGAGCCCTTCGGACTGCCCCAGGCAAGGCAGGAGAAGAGCTCAGAGACACACTAGGGACACCCGCCCATGGAAGCGACCCGCAGAGGTGAGCTGGGGGCCCTTACTTCGTGCCTGGCCCCAGCTGGCCACCCTTGGGGGGCATCCGGGTATCGGCAGGGGGTCTACCTGGCCGAGGTGAAAGGACAAGGCTGGCAGCCCGGACATCCGCGAGGGCCCAGGCCCAGGGGTAGCATACAATCAGGGATACTGGGAGCATTGTGAGTGGGGGGCAAAGGGAACCAGCAAGGACGGGGCCGAAGCCGGTAGCCTGCAGGCAGGGAGAGCTTGGGCAAGCCCCAGGGTGCAAGGAAGGCCTGTCCAAGGCAGCTAGGCCAGTGGCCGGGCTGGAGGGGGTGTGGGGCTCTAGATGCATACTCAGTGGCACGCACCAGACACACCCACATCCTCTGGAGTACAAGGGCTCCCGCCCTGCTGTCACCGCATGCCACGCTGTGACCCACACGCCAGGCACACATACACACTTGCCCACACCACGGGGCACATGGCCGCACTGTCCAAGACAGGGGTCGCAGGCCGCCATTGGCCACCCTTCCCCGCCAGATGACAGGCGCGCCTGCCTGGGTCCCATGCTGGCTCGAGGAGTGGAGGGACACATGCCACGGCGGGCCGGGAAGAACTTCTGGGGGATGCTGGCCGAGCAGCCCAGCGTTCCCTCTGGGGAGGAGGGCATGGCCAATGGCCTACAGCTCGGCCTCAGCCTCTCCACCCACACAGTGGGACAGCTCCGTGCTTGTCTGCTGGGGCAGGGCTCAAATTGGGGAGCAGGAGTCCATTCAAAGGGGACCTGGGGCACGTGGACCCAGAAGCTCTGCCTGGCCAGGATGGAGCTATCTCCGTCAGGCAGGGATGCCCCCCTCCGTGGGCTGTCACCCCTTCCAGGCCTCCTGACCTGGGGCCGCCGCTGAGTACAGCTGCCCGTCCTCCGGCCTGGGGCCAGGGCCGCTTCGGGGCTCTCCTGGCCAGCTCCCTCCACCTGTTCTTCCTCCGCAGCCCCTCGGGGTTCAATGACACGCAAATCTCCCGGGCTACAGTGGGCACGGGTGTTACCGAGGGGACCCCTGGGCTGGTGGCTGCACCTCCCTGAGCCTCAGAGACCCCGTCTTAGGGGAGCGATGATTCCTGCCTCCTAGTCGGTAACGAGGACCACGGGGGGCGATAGCCATTGGCTGGCTGGTGTGGTGTCCAGCTCCTGGCTGGGAGTCGCTGTCCTGGGGGTGATGGTGGGGTCAGTGATGCTGATGGCTGACCAGGCTGTCCTGCCTTGCAGTCACCTACTGTGGGAAGACCCTGCACCATAGCTTTGCCCAGGATTGAGAAGGGAGCTCCGGAGTTTTCCAGGAGCTCAGAGAAGTAGGGGGCTGGGAAGGGCAGAAGGGGTGGGTTGGCTTGATGCCTTGTTGGGGTCTTGGCCACAGCCGGTGCCAAAACGTAAACCATGACTACCAGACCCTGGCCTTCAGCAGCCCGGGCAGGGTGGCCCAGCGCCTGTGGTGCTCTGTGGGGCCCATGGCTTCAGGGACGCCTTGGAGCCAGCTCCTCCGGGTCTCCTGGAGAGGAGGAGACTATGGCTGGGACTGCCTGCCGGGAAGCCCTGAGCCCCCGTGGGCTGGCACAAAGGACGTGCAAGGCCAATGCGTGTGGGCATAACTGCCTGTCCCCAAAAGCCACCTGGCTTCAGAAATCACACAGACCAAGCAAGAAGGGATGAGGCGAGAGGCTTCTCCCCCAGCAAGCAGCAATGAGCATCTTGGCCGTGACAAAGGCGTGAACGCGGAGCCCGAACAGGAGGGGGCAGTGTGTGCAGACATGACCGGCCCTGGACCCCGCAGGACTGTCCTGTGTCCCCGCACAGCCCGCCTCTGAGGCAGCCAGGTGCTTGCTTGCTGGCCTTTCCTCTAAGGAGACAGCTGTGGGGGCTGGTGCAGGGGGGCTGGAAGGGGGCGGGGCCTCCTAGGGGGGTGGGGGACACGGCTGCCCTGAGGCCACCCCTTCTGCCTTTGCCAGGAGAAGCGTGCGGGCCGGTGCACCGCGAGCAGAGCCGTGAGAAGTCTGGACTCGCCAGGCCTGGAGATGGTGGGGAACTGTTCCTGGGAGGCCCATCCAGGCAGCCGGAGTAAGGCAAGTGCTGCTGGGCAGCAGAGGGGGCTCCAGGCACGGTGGGGCAGGGTGGGGTGGGAGAGGAGGAGTGGGGTAGGAGTGGGGTAGGAGAGGCCCAGCGTCCCCTCCCCCTGCACTCTGCCACGCAGACCAATCCTGTGTCTCAGGACACACTGGTGGGCAGGAGACCCTCTGGGCTACGTACCCCAGCCCTGCTCCCAGGGCCCCCCTGGTCACCAGTACCCCCAGCAGCCTCAAATCCCTTCCCTGTGCATACCCTGTGCGAGCCGTTTCTACCTTGAGCGGCCTTGTTCTGTCTCTTCCCTGAAGAGATGGGGGTCAGCTATATCCCGCGGCCAGGCCTTGCCAGGAGGCCCGGAGGAGCTGGCTCCAAGGCGTCCCTGAAGCCATGGGCCCCACAGAGCACCACAGGCACTGGGCCACCCTGCCCGGGCTGCTGAAGGCCAGGGTCTGGTAGTCATGGTTTACGTTTTGGCACCGGCTGTGGCCAAGACCCCAACAAGGCATCAAGCCAACCCACCCCTTCTGCCCTTCCCAGCCCCCTACTTCTCTGAGCTCCTGGAAAACTCCGGAGCTCCCTTCTCAATCCTGGGCAAAGCACACTCCACATTGGAAGGACCTTCTGAGTTCATCTGGTACAACCTCCTCCACACTGGCGAAAACTGAGGCTCACGACAGCACGATACCTCGACTGGGATGAGCCCAGAGGTCGGAACGGAGCCTGGACTCTTGCCCGGGGCCTGTGGCCCTTGGTCTTCTCCCTTGGTGACCGCTGTAGAGCAGCAGCCATGGGAGGAAGAGATGGGACCGGCTGAGGAGAAGTCTCCAGAAATCCCCAGAGAAAAGGCAGAGCCCAGGGAGGGGGCCAGGCTGAGCACAGGCATTTTCCAAGGCCGCCATGTGGCTGGAGTGGTAGCTACACGCCCAGTGACTCACCAGCCCCCCAGCTCTGACTCCGGGGAGGGAACTGCAGACTTTTTCCAGCCTGTGAGGAGCTCTGAGAGATCCCTCGGCATGGGCTTGTCTGGGCACTGGGTCTTGGGGACCACTGCTCCGTGGCCTGGAGTGGTCAAAGCCACCAAGAGGAAAGGCTGAGGAAAGGGCGAGCTAAGGGGTTTGCAAGGTTGACGGGCAGAGATGTTGCCAATAAGCATGGCTGGTATATAAGCCCCCCTTAACGTGCTTGCCTGGACCTCAGAGTCTCCCCAAAGTCTTGCCAACACCTCCAGTCTCTGCTTGCAGACTCCCTTGACAGAACCCCCTCCCCGCCGTTATGGGGTATCTGGCAAAGCTGGGGACCATCTGGAAGGCGGTGGAATGTTCCAGCCCCTTTGTTTCCTTTGGGGGAGAGTCATGAGCAATGGAACCGATACCCAGCCTTAGATGGGGGGGGTCTGGCGGGGACTAGGGTGGGGGTGTCAGGTTCAGGCTCTGTGGGAAGGAGCGCTGGGACGGACTAGTGACGTCTGCCCGGTTGAAGGAGGGGCGTGACGGAGCTCTGAGCAGCCCTGTTGCTTGGAATGGGAGGTCAAAGTGACAGCCTGAGAAGGAATCCGGCTTGTGGATGTATTATGTTTGGCCCACACGATGTTTTTAAATGCGAACATTTAAAGATCAGGGGAGTTCACATTACGATCTAGGGTTTTCTGGCTTCTCTGGGGAGGGGGGAAAGGATGATGGATGGGCCACTCAGCCCATGGTCCTGTTTCAACTGTACCCCCTCCCGCCCCCCAGCACCCACCAGCTGGAACAGAGCAGCTGCCCACTTTGCTCGGGACAGGTGCTCTCGTGTGCACGCCCCCCAAACCAGTGACTTGCTCCGGGCCCAGGTTCACGCATTCATCCCCAGCCCAGACCCTGTAGGCAAGATAGCCCCGTGCCCTCGGTCGGCCAGACTGTTCGAGCATCAGAGTGCCTCCCCAGAGTGCCACAAGTCTCCACCTCCCTGGCTGGGGGGGGGCCTGGGCCGTACCCAGATCCCTCACGATCCAGACACCCAGGGTCACCCCAGCCCTGCAGGGAACCACTTCTACATCCCTCGGTCTCTCTGATCCCGCGACGAGGCTCCCACTCCAGTGAGGGCCAGGGTCCACCTTTTCAATTATTTTATTCTATTTTTTAAAAATAAATATTTTCACATTTTGGTGTGAAAACTGGCAAATGCACAGAAAACTTGCACAGACAGTGCAGTGTGGACGTGTGTGTCCTTCACCAGCAGATAGCCTTTGCCGCCTGTGTTTTCTCTCGACGCCTCCCATGACAGACTCTTTCCCAGAACTGTTGGAAAGTAAATTGCAGACATCAAGCCCCCTTTTACCCCCAAATAGCCTGGGGCCTCCGAGAACAAGGAGCTTCCGGTACAGGGCCGCAGGGCATCTTCCGACTCACAAAATCTAACGCTGGTGCAGCACAAGGATACCCGATCCAGACAAGCGCTTCCCCGTCACCCCGCTAACAGCCTTCACAGCGACCTGTAGGGCCGCTCTGAAATCTAGGTGTTGTATCTATTGGCCATGGCTCAGCACGGTCCCTCAACCTGGAAAGGTTCTTCCGTTGTTCATATCTTTCGTGATACAGACACCTTTGCCCACAGGTGGGCCGTCCCGGGCCTCTATTTCGTCTGACGGTCTCCGCTCTCGCTCCTCCAGGCCGCTAGCTGCAGACCTGGGGACACAGAGCAGGGGCACTAGGAGGGAGCAGGGCTGTCTTCTGCTCTAGTTCCAGCCAGTTCATTGGCTTCGCCCCCGTGATCAGCCGGGACACGGGTGCAGGTCTGGGGGTGGGGTCCGGCCCGCATCACAGGTGTCTCCCCCTCTGCACCCGCCCAGCTGTGTCCTGACGTGAGTGAGGCCCCCGAGCTGTACATCCGCGGCTTCCTGACCATCGAACAGATCACCATGCTGCCGCCGCCCGCCGTCATGAACTACATCTTCCTGCTCCTCTGTCTGTGCGGCCTGGTGGGCAACGGGCTGGTCCTCTGGTTTTTCGGCTTCTCCATCAAGCGGAGCCCCTTCTCCGTGTACTTCCTGCACCTGGCCGGCGCCGACGTCGGCTACCTCTTCAGCAAGGCTGTGTTCTCCGTCCTGAACACAGGCGGCTTCGTGGGCACGTTCGCCGACTACGTCCGCGCCGTGACCAGGGTCGTGGGGCTCTGCACGTTCGTGGCCGGCGTGAGCCTCCTGCCCGCCGTGAGCTCGGAGCGCTGCCTGTGCGTCGTCTTCCCCGTCTGGTACTGGCGCCGCCGGCCCAAGCGCCTGTCGGCCGTGGTGTGCACCCTGCTCTGGACCCTGTCGCTCCTGGTCACCGGCG